ATTGGACATATGTTTTGTGGTCAGTTTTTTCAAAGTTTCGAAATTTTTGGCGGTATGCCTCTGGGACCAACTCGTAGCCATTAAGGATAAGTTCCTTTACCGTATCATAATTAGCTGATAATTCTACTGAAAGTTGCGAAAAAATTTCACGAGCTTTACCAACTAATACACTTTGTAACAGCATCGTCCAGCTGTCTTTTGGCCACTCACAATTTGTGGCAATTTTTTCGAAATGTAGGAAATATTGGTCTACTTCCCGTTCCTGGAAGGGTGGAACCATTCGGACATGCTTGGTCACGTCAAATTTTTGACCCGAATTAACTCTAAGATTTTGCCCTTTTGCCTGAACCTCTAATTCCAATTTTCTTAACTCTAATTCCTGTTCCCTCAATCTAAACTCTCTTTCTTTCTCTATTCTTTCTCTTTCCCACTCGCGTTTCTCTCGTTCTCTTTCCCACAAAACTTTCTCATGCTCTCTCTGCCACTGTCTGTCTTTCTCGCTTATTTCACTATCTTCGCTAATCTGTGTATTTTCTACTGTATTTATACTTTGTTCCATGAAAACAGACTGTTCGAATGTTTTTTCTTTAACAAAATGTTCCTTGATTAAATCGTATACTTCGCGTTTTCTGAAGGTACTTCTTACTTCTAGCCCTAAATGCTTGGCTAGCGTAACTAGGTTATCTTTACGCAGGCTATTAAAATTTTCTATGGTTGGTTCCACCATAAATTCGCCGGGGTTAAATTCTGACATGCTTATTTAATTAAGATCAATTAAGGTATCTGGTTTCACACTTAACACTATGACGCATGCAGAATGTATTCCTCAAATTCCGCTTAATATCTTATCAATGAAATGACTTTCCAATTTTTATTTGTTTTAACTTGAAATGCTAATTTTCTTTTGGAGCATGCAACTGTTTAGACTGGTTTTACTCTTTCCCGCCTGAGCTCCCAACTGTTATGGTGCGTTATTTATGCGTCAAATATATTTTCCAATTAGGTATATTTTCAACCTTTAGGCTTCGGGTTCAAATTATATATTAACGCTACCGTAACACAAATAGCATGAAACCTTATACCTTTTATATATTTTATTTACTTTCAACAATATCAATTAGCGTCTCTATAATGTTATAATAATATAGTAATCTTAATATATCAACTTATCTCTCTATTTGTTTGAGCTGAGCACAACTTTGAATCTTTATTCTTTATACTTTGTATTCCGTCTTCTTTAATAATAATAATTATTCCACAATATTCCAATGTTCTTCAGTTTACTTGACGAGGCTTAATTATCTAGCCTTTTAATTATATACTTCAGCCTTTGTTGGCTTAAGAAGTATTTTAGCCTAAATGGCTCTTCTCACTTCACTCTCCGCTCCTGACTCTCAGGTTGTGCTCAGCTTTTATAATAAATTTTAGAGGAAGAAATCTGTAACTATGACTAATTTCCTCTACGCAATATGTTTGTCAAAGCAAGTTCTAGCAGTGTTTATCAACCACAAAACTATGTCCTGTTTGCGTGGTTTGTGGTACTAGGCGTTTCCCGTGGTTCTTTAATCTCTCTAAATATTTGCTTATTCATGCGAGGAAGGTTGCCTAAGGTCTTCCTCTTATAATTATAACAGTATACTGAATATATAGTATTGAATATAGTATTGAATAACATGGTATAACACTGCCATGTTACACAAGTTACTCAGATATCGACCAAGTTTTTTTTTGTGATTGACGAATGTCTCTTTTTATTACTGTCTTTCAACTTGCGATCTCTGATGATGTTTTAACTTTGGGCTCAACCATTATCACATTATGGTCTGATAATCCGAAAGGAGGAAAAACTATGGCTGGTTGTACATCATTTATTCATGTTTGTAAGTATACGAAGATCCAAAATCTTGGCACCACGAGTTGGTTTATCAACCAATTGTTTTAACTGAAAATCTCGGCAAAAATCTTCAGTGTAAAAGTGGTTAAAATCACCAGCAATAATAAATCCACAGCCTGGAAAAAGACTTTCCAGTGATGTCAGTGAGTCAGATAGGTATTGAAAAAGATCTGTTTTGCTGGAACTTGGAGGATGGTAGACGCATGCAGAAACAATGACGTTAATTCCCCTTGGTAATCTTGGTGGTCTAATGTGTGTCCATAAAACCTCAAAGTCTGAATGTTCAATTTCAGGTAATTGTTTGAAATTGATGGAAATCTATATGTACATGCAGACACCACCGTGGATACTAAGACTACAATCCCGCCTCACGAGGTAGTAATCAAATAAAGTCGCATGGGTGTCACAAACGGACTCTGGCAGCCACGTTTCAGTTATAAAACCCTAATCAAAACTTTGTGCAGAGAGGAAAATACGTAGCTCGTCAAGCTTAGGAACTAGAGACACGACATTAGTTAGCATAATTTTTGGAACGAATTCAGTTTTTGGATAATGAGTTTGGGTAATAGGCATTTTAACAAGATTACTGATATTTCGACTGTTCAGATTGAACCTCCACAAGGGAAGCTCAGATTCAACCTCCACTATAGTTAGGTTGATCTCCTAGAACACGTGATCTGGTTTCGAGCGGGATTAGAAAAGAGACTCGTTTCTTATGAACGCTTGGACAATTGTACTCTTTCGTCAAACACAAATTTCACAATAAGGTCCAGTAATTTCAATAAAACTAAACACCACCACAACAACTACACAGAAATATAGCTAAATAGGCAACGTAATATCAGTTACTTACAAACATTTTCTACCTAACCACAAGCTTTACAAAATTGTAACTGAAACACAGTTAGGGTCAAATATAGTTGCCTAAACACCAACCACAATACACGCGTAGTTAGAAAAAAACCAACAACATATAGAGAAGAAAGTAAGAAGAAAGATTTGTTCTTGCTTTTTGAAAAATAAATATATGCGTTCGTAATACGTCTCAAAGTGTATGTGGGTATATGTCTTGATGGAAGTAAGTGCTAAAGTTTATGAGATGGATTGTTTATAATGGAAACAAATAGTTCTTGGCAAGTATATGTATCTGCACTCCTTTCGCTTAACATCTTTAAATTCGTTTGCTGTAAGTTTTCCAGATAAGACACTCCTGGGTTGATTATTGAAAGAGCTCTTTTTTGAATATTTTGAAGATCATCGCTCAGATAACCAAAAAATGAATGGTGAAAAACAGAGGAACATGCAATACTCCAGAGTCGGTTTGGTACACGAGCATGCAGTGATATCTTCAATAAGACTTCTTTTGTGCTACGTTTGTTCTTTTCAATAGAGACATACCGTATATGATTGCGTTTATTTGCCGTGCCTTCTTTATTGCATCATATACATACGTGTTGGATAATAATAAGCTAAGGACCTTTCGTTTATAGATCAAATCTAAAGTGCTTTAACAATTAAATTGCCAGTTGCAATTCCAACTCAGAGTGATATTGTACGTAGTAGAGACAATCTAGTTCCTTCGATATCAATGTTATCTAATAATAATCATGATTTTTCTGTGTTGAAAAGAAAAATCATGATTATTATTAGATAACATTGATATCGAAGGAACTAGATTCTGTTCCGAAATATCACATACTCGAACCGACCAGACCACGTAGCTCAGTTGGCAGAGCATTGGACTAGTATTCCAAATGTCGTAGGTTCGATTCCCACCGTGGTCAGCCATATTTTTCAAGCTTGCCCGGTGTGGATATACACTCAGAGTAACATCACAAGGATCATGTATAGGAATGTTTTTTACTACATAGCCATATTTTATCGAAGAAATTATGTCATTATTTGATGCTTGACTAATTGGAAGGAAGCTATCTAAGAAGGGGGGGAGGTCACAATTTTCTGGGCTGCCATTTTGTGGAGGGCTAAAATTTTTGGGCGCTAATTCGGAAGGGGGTCAACATTTTTGGGCTTTCGTTTTAGATATTTTACCAGCCATTCCCCCCCCCCCCTAATAATTAATGACTGCTCCCTAAATAGAGTATAACCCCGTTCAAGCAACAATAACCATCTGATAGAAAGGTTTATATAACACAAACGTTTGACATTTCAATAAAAACTAGCAAAAGGTCCACAAGAAGGCTTTACCCTGTTGTGCAGAGAATTGCTACTACACAAAGAATGTACAGTAAGTACAATTGACTACTTTGGTGATTTTGCACTAATTGGAAACATGTGCTCGGTAAAATATGGCAGAACGTAATATAAATTATATACAGAATGCGCAAACGGTTCGCGTATTTAATTGATTGACCAATAAATTAACTTGTTAGTTCCACAAAACCAACGTTAAAATGGATATTTACGGATTTCGAATAGAAAAATTTAAACCTATAATTTTACTCATAAAATCGAGGAGTTAGCGAGAGTATTTATCTAAAACACGGACTGTTTCTCGTAACCGCAGCGTGCGTCGTTGAAGACAATTTATTATAATCTTTCTTTGCATAGTCTGCCATAAACTGGGATGTTTGTTCTCCCATGGAATAGTTATGGAGAATAAAAATTTTAATTATGAGCCATAGGCCAATATCATAACTAATAATTAATGAGTATGGTTTCTTAAAATTTAATTACGAGCCATAGGCCTATATCCATAACAATTCCAAATTTTACAGAAGTTTTTATTTGTATGTTGTATTGGTCTTCCTGGTATATTCGTCTGGATTAGATAGGATCATGATAATTACTCAGGGTTCGAATTAATTCTGAAAAAATGGTTCGTGAATTAATTTTTTTATTTTAAGGACATTTTAAGGAATTTTCAAGGAATTTTCTCTAATTGGAAGTTAAAAAGTGGAAGCACTGCAATTTTCAAATATATATAAATATACATCGCAAACTCCCAAAAAATAGAATTTTGGGTGGAATTATAATCGTTTTTAAGTACAATCTAACAACAATATCTTCAGAATATATGATCCTTCATCACATTTACAAGGAACTGAATTTATTATTGTATATTTTTTATCAATTTGAGACACTTTTGATTCGTGATTTTGACCAATTTCTATGAAATTGGGTTCGTGAAAAATGAAAATTGATTCGTGATTCACGAATCACGAACCGTTATTTCGAACCCTGTTACTGATAAATATACAACGTATGAAAGTTAGAAATGTATTTAAAAAAAATAATTATTTAACTTCTGTAATCAGTGACAAATACTGCAACTTAATTGGTTTACAGGAGTGCCAATGGAGCATTAATCGCACCTTTTCTGAGCTGTATTATCGCACTCTTGTCTACAGCCAATGAAAATCAATCTAGTATTTACAACTAGCCAATCAGCATTAAGGATGCAAACTTTGAATTTTCTTTTCTTTTATAGTGCTGCAAAACATTTCAAAATTGAGGATTTCACAAATTTTGAAAATTTTGACCTTTTAATTTTTAAATTATTATATTTTCTGACTAGAATGACCTACCTCATGAGGCTACCTGTTCTTCCAGCAGAAGACACCGAACTAGACACAACCAGCGGTTATATTTGACTCATGCAGATTCAGATTAGACCGAACCGAAGAACTTCACTATTTTGAATACGTTATAAACTTGCAAACATGGCTTCCCAATTGTGTGTTCAATATTTAAATTGGAACAATGTTGTCATGTGATTATACCTGAAATAATACCCGGAAGTTAATAATATGTTAATTTGATTATGATAAATTTAATTCAAAATTGTACTATTTCACTAAGAATTGTCGTGACAAAAACTTAAATATTATATTGAATTTCAACAAATTATATTTTTGTGCTTTTTCCCGTTAAACAGTTTGATTACAAAAGATAAATAATTAATAAGTAATAGAACGAATTAAGTCGTACTATTAATGCCATAATAATACTCGTGATTAACAAATCAACCTCCCGCTACGCGGTCGGTTGATTTTGTAATCACACGTATGATTATGGCATTAATAGCACTCCTATTCGTTCTATTACCGTCCTTAATTAATCAAATTAATCTAAGCCAAGATATATTATATATTTTCCTTAACCAGTTCCAGAGTGAATATACTTTCCCGTTTTTGGAGTCTATGAAATGTTTTGGTAACACTATTCAACAAAAAAGATTCATAATAAACTGCCTTCATCAGCGCATGCAAAGGCTATGAGAATGAATACGTTTTTGAGAGAAATGCCACGCTAACTTCTCGTCTTTTTAAGTAAAATTTCAACTAAGGGCATGGCTTTGAATTTTTCTTCTTGCAACCTTTTATCCATTTAACGCTGTGTTTTGCAGAATTCATAAGCTAATTTACTGGGCAAATACGCGAAACGCTTGCTCATTCTGTATATAATTTATACTACGTTCCGCCATATTTGTTCGAGTCTCCGAAATGTTGAATACGTGTTTGCAATTAGCCCAAAACCGCGAAAGTGGTCTATTTTATTCACTAATTGTTTCTCATAATTATTCAGTTCCATCGAAAGGTCCAAACATTACATCAATTACCAATATGACGTCCACTTCAATAAAGATCGTCTGGGAGAAGTTGAGTGCCGATGATTCGAATGGAGAAATAACAGGATATGAAGTTTGTTATAAGGCTTCATCAACTTCGGGAGATTTTGACTGCAATATAAGTAAGCCAGTTACTGGTGCCGATACAACCACGACTGTTTTGCATAACTTGGATAAAGCAACTACATTTAATGTCGCTACTAGAGCTGGAACTGTGAAGGGACTTGGACCTCTTGGTCCCACTGTAAGCACAAAAACGCTTGAAGATAGTAAGTGCATTTTTTATTATTATTTCGTTAAATATAATTGAGTGCTATAATTATAGGGCGAATATATATTTATTTATTACATCTCGTTGGAAGTGCGCGTTGAATACAAACCCCGCCGGACCGATCAATATCAAAGGTTGTAACAACGTGCTAAATAAACATGCAGTGACACGCGCGGTTGAAAATATATTTTTTATACATTTGGATTACAAACACTAACATTCTAATATTAATTCCACCAAGTGAAGTGCAAGAATCCAAATCATTGAAGTCCACCTTATCACAACCAGCACACCCGATTACCTATATATACATGAACTTACGGTTACAGCTCAACAGCTGTCCTCTGTAGCTCAGTTGGTTAGAGCGCTGCACCGGAATCGCAGGGCCGTATAGGTTCAATTCCTACCAGAGGACCTTGTGCTGCATTTTTCGCAGTCGTTCCTGGTTAGGTCTTAAAATGTATATATTCTCACTTGGATTACAAACCCTAACATTCTAAGATTTTTTACACTTCGCTATCTTCGCGCATGCCTGCATGGGTGTAAATAGCCAAGCAGAATTACTAGCTTCTCCTCAGACTATCGCCCTCGGAGAACATCTAAAGTTTTATTGACATTTTACTGAGCTGCTACCCAATGAAACTCATGTGAACGACGCCTACACACGTAAAAACGTACAAGTTTGTACAGGTCTACAAACAAGTTGTTACAATTCTGTTCACAAGCTGTCAACAAGTTGTCTTCGCACTGCTTCTTCCCAGTCGTTGTAACAAGTTTGGCACAAGCTGTTATTAAATAACAACTAATTGTAACAATTAAGCCTGATGCATGGCATTATTAGACTTGTAGCAAAGCTGTTCTAACAAGTCTGATACAGTTATGATATAACAAGAATGTTACAAGGTTGATGACAAAAGATTGTAACAATATTGTTATTCTAGAGACATTCTAGATTACCAAACACTGATCAAAATTTATTTATCAATAATTCAACCACATTTCGACTATTGCTCACAGATTTGGGGTTGTCTGGGTAAAGTACTATCTGATAAACTCCAGAAGCTTCAAAATAGAGCATTTCGAATAATAACTCGTGAAAACTATGATACACGTACAATCGATGTTTTGAACAAGGTCGGTTTTCCAAATCTTGTGACTAGAAGAAAACATCATTTAGCCGTCCTAATGTTCAAAGCCAAACATAACATGTTACCAAATTGCTTAACGGAACTTTTCATCACCTCAAATGAAATACATAATTACAATACAAGACAGAGCGAATTCAATTTTGCATTACCTAAACCTAAAACTAATTTTATGAAAAAGTCTTTCGCCTATCGAGGAGCTGAGACTTGGAATAATCTGTCTGCTGACATAAAAGCTAAAACAAGTATCTCTACATTTAAAAATAGTCTAACTGTAAGTGTGTAATTTGTGTGTAATTTAGTTATTAATATTAGATACTGTAGTATATGTGTAATTAGTATAGCTATATACGGCCTATTGGAAGATCACCCGTCTTAATTTTTGTAAATATCTTGGTGAAATAGTACCGTTTTTAATAATTTAAAAGTCAATAAAGTCAATAAAGTCAATATATCATGATTGTATCGGACTTGTTGGAACAACCTTGCAACAAGTCTGGTAATACCAACAAGGTTGTTACAAGTTGTTAACAGTTTGTTTCAAACTTGTTGACAACTTGGGACAAGCAGTGCGAAGACAACTTGTTGGCAACTTGCTGGCAGACTTGCTACAAAATGTGGGACTTTTGTAGTTTTGTGTAGCTGTTTTATGACCAAGTGCCCAAATTTACTAACTAAAACTATTAATTTGAAGAAGAATATGAAGTTTTAAGGCCGTTTACACTTGGAATTTTTGCTGCGATTTTAAGTGCGATTTTTTCTGCTGACGTGATGGCGACATGAAATCGCCAGTGTAAATACCCTGCAATTTAACTGCAAGCCCAGTGCAATTATACTGCGACAAACTGCAAATATTTCGATCGTGATCGAAATTTATCGCAACTCGCTGCGATTTTTCAAAAAAGATGTGAACAAAATACGACTGTTGAACAAAAACGGCTGTATACGACTTAATTGTCACCTGCAATAAAGGCTTTCACGCTGTTTTTAAAAGCAAAATTGCTCAGGTAAATCTACTACTATAAATGCATGCAGTTAACTATCAATAACATATGTGAAAAGGGAAATTACCTGTTGTCCACTCAACTCAAAACAGCACAGCAGTGTCAGCAGAAAGTAAATTTCGCACTGATTTTTACTATTGTCTGCTTGATCTGCTGCTGAGGGATTTTCATTAGAATCTTGTGAAGTATTGGTACAATTCTCAATCCAGCGCGTTGAAGTGATGGTCATCAATATTGAAAAGGTGTGGAATTTGGCAAGAAGATACAACTGAATCGGAAAAGCAAACTGTCGGGAATATTCCTTGTTTTTGGAGTCCGGATGCTTTCGCAGTTTGATGCAGGAGATGGAAGAACGCAAGAAGCAGGGCTGGTAAACCCTTACTTTCCATTATAATATTAAGAAATTTGGTCAAAGTGATTACGCTGGCCTTTACCGAAACCTTCGCAGAATAATTTGTATTGCGTCCACAATTCCAATTCCCGAATATAGCTTCATGCGAAAGATTTTTTAAAATTTATTTAAACATATTTTGCGAAACGTTTGCCCCAAGAGCTAATAAGCTCATCAAGGGGGCTTACGCCTATTTACATGTTGTATTAAAATAACAACAGTCAGGAGACAGCTGGCCTTATTTCATAAAATGCTGTGCTGAATGGTTATATTACTACCTTAAAAATAAGCAGAAACTCGACGTTTCGAGCGAAGGCCCTTCGTCAAGAGTTAGTAGCAGGGATCAGGGAAAATGCACGGGCTTTTATACTAAGAGTATGAAAGAATCACGTGACAAAAAAATAAACCAATTAGATGGATTTAATCATAACAAAGTGTAAACAAAATATGTAAATCGCATTACAGTATATAAAATAATATAATTAAAAATATACAGGAAGTTAAAACAATTACTGCAAAAAATAATCAAAACAAAACAAGAGTGGGAAAAAGGTAAAAATAATAAATAGAGGTTGTCAATGTCTGCTATAGACAGGCAAGGACAGATGGCATCATAGACAATCCAGAAGACATGTCTGGATTGTCTAGGATGGCATTAAACATAAGAAAAGCGTTCATTAATGCCAGAAGGGTTAACAGTGCCAAGTTTGGATATGAGGCGCATTTCATGTCGTTTGCGGCTATCGTTGCTTCCAGAAATGGGACAGAGGGCTCGAATTACCATATCTGAAACACTGTGATTGCCATTATTAAAATGTCTGGCAACAGGTTGGTTAGCATCATTGCCAATAACTGCACGCCGATGCTCACCAAACCTTGTCCTTAAACATCTTCCAGCTTCATTACGGTATAAATCAGCTCTCCAAACAACTAAGGCACCGCCCTTATCAGCAGGTTTGATAACAATGTGATTACGAGCATGGAGTGATTGGAGGGCGCTGAATTCATTGTCAGTGAGGTTGGATGGCCTTTTGGGCCTAAATTTGGGGAGTTGTTCTATATCATGTCGACATTGTCGAATGAATAGTTCAAGGGACCCATATTGGTCTTCTGGGGGAGACCAGGAAGATTTTTTGGGGTTGATAGCCTCAAAAACGTCCTTGTGAGGGACGGAGGATTGATTATGGAAATGTGCTTTCAGACGCAAGCGTCTGAAAAATGATTCGGTGTCGGTCTTAACTGAAAAAGTGTCAAGGGACCCGGGCTGGGAACTAATTTGAGACCTTTCGCGGGGACAGATCTCTCAGATTCGGATAGGGTTAAATCGGGAGGAATAGTTACAACTAAATTGGTACTATTAGCTGAACTGGTGTAGTTGGTGGCCGGCGAAATGGGACGGTTGCTTAACAAAGAGCTGAACTTAGAAGTTTTGCTCGCTTCGAGGAACGAGTAAAGTCTGGAATTCAACACGCGAATGAATTGGATGATGTCCTTTCTTAAAATGGAAGGACATGAGGTAGACAGAAAGGATTTAACATGTGAAATCCCGGAATCTAAAGTCTGAATATGCTGTGACATAGAATCAATGGTAATGTGCATCGAGCTCCGACTGTGTTCATAACAAGCTTTAGTGACACGAGATACAATATGGCGGCTAGTGGACGAGTGAAAATCAAAATTAAAAGACGATTTAAAACCGTTAGGAATGACTTTATATCGTAAAGAACGACTTAAGATGGAAAGGTGGCTGGAGAAACGAGTTTTAGATAGAGTGAGGTCGAGCAAGCGTAGGGAAGGCTTAGCAATAAACGGTAAATATAATGTAATGTGACTCACCATTGCGATTTACTAATGCGATTTACTAATGCGATTTACAAATTTTGTTTACACTTTGTTATGTTTGTTTACACTCACTAATGCGATTTACATATAATGCGATTGTTTACACTCACTAATGCGATTTACATATTTTGTTTACACTTTGTTATGATTAAATCCATCTAATTGGTTTATTTTTTTGTCACGTGATGCTTTCATACTCTTAGTATAAAAGCCCGTGCATTTTCCCCGATCACTGCTACTAACTCTTGACGAAGGCCCTTCGCTCGAAACGTCGAGTTTCTGCTTATTTTTTAAGGTAGTAATATAACCATTCAGCACAGCATTTCTACATTGGTACTACCTACACTGGTACAGACAGCTTAAGGCCTTATTTCATCACATTCATCTACATAAGCATAGCCAACAAAACGTCTGGACACTGGAAAAAATTTGGAAAAAATGGAAAAAACACTGGAAAAAATGTATCTATTTTGAGCTAATGACAATTCATCTTCAGCAAAGTTAAAATTATCAACAATTACATGAGAGCAACCATGAGTGAATATCAACTTGAGAGCTTGGTCCTTGCTAGTAGCGAAAGAGATGTAGCCGAAGATATTAAGTTGCATTCTCTTGTCGATACATTTGCTTGGAAGCCTAGGAAACTTCCACTATAATATATGCGTGTAATTTTAAAGTTAGATGAAAAGTTATATGAAAACGGAACACAAATTAGATTCCCGCGTTCGCCTAAATGTTGCATAATATGCGTATCGTTTTAAAAGGAAACTGAATGATTTTATAATGCATTAAAGCAGTTATCAACTTAATAACAAGTTCATGCATAAAACTTTCTTCATCTATTATTAATTTGACATGTTATGTTATGTTATTAGATTATTACGCATATGCTTTGTGAATCTCGTAAATATTTCATCTATGGCATAAAATAAACCAAATCTGTGGCATGAATATAGATCACCAAAAGGCCATGCCAAATATGCATTTGGGAGAGTTTCTCTAACCTAAAAATTGAAAAATTTAATTTATTTAATTTATTTAATTTATTAACTTTGCCAGATTCAAACAATTAACGTCAACTCAAAAACTGGCAGGGCAATCGCAACAGCTTGCGCCAATTACTGCGATCCCTATAAAATGTTAGAAAAATATACTATATAGGCTACGTACATAGAAAAATCATTTACTAACAAACTGTCAGATTCAACTTTTCACATTGCGATCCACAGGACCACCTCATTTTGAGCTGACTGAATCAGAAGACGTTTAACCCTCACAATCCTAAACCTTCAGCAAAACCCTGGATAGGCCCCATAGATACCAATGCGAAAAGCTACTTCTGAAAACTATTAAAATCTAAAAGCAACACGTTATCGGCCTTGCAAGGTCACGAGCTTGATTGCATTTTAAGCAAACTGATTTCCATGTTCGTGGATCGTCAACGTCATAACATTTATCTAATGCTGTTTTATAATATATATATAACTTATTTTTAAACTCCTTTAATGTTGCCATGCCATTAATAGAAACTAAATCCCTTGGCAGTGTGTTCCAGATATAGTAGTCCTTATTAGATAGGATTTTTGATAGATAGATGTTTTACATGCGGAAGTCTGAAATTGTAGCCTGTTAGGTTTTGTAGATCGGGTACGTTGACTTGAATCTTGAGGGTATGGTAGTATGTCGCTGCTTAGGTTAATGATGTAATGATGTGATTTGAAAAAGAACAATATATCTAGGTACTTATGCCAGTAACACAAAGGTAGTAGATTCAATGTTGAGAGACGATGGTTATAGCTGATGTCACAGAAGAAAGGTAGGTTCAATATTTTTTTTGACGCACGTCTTTGAACGCGTTCTGTACGCAAAACGAGGTCAACAGTGTGTGGAGCCCAGACTTGGAACGCGTATGCGAGGCAGACTCGTCCCCAGTCGTTATTTGAATTTCAATTTATATATAGGGACGAATAGGTATATATCCATATATATATATATATAGATCAGTACCAAATGTAGACGTGCGCAAGGGGAAAAGGGAAGGCAAGGGAAAAAATAACGACTGGCAGATTACAGAGACAAAATGGCGGACAATTCGACAACAACAGAGGAAAGACTATTTTAATATTATATACACCACAGAGCGTTTTTAGCTGATAAACTCCCTTGTCCGCATGAGGAATGTCAGTATAATTTATCTTGCTATGATCAAGATGGTTTAGACC